TTCCCTTCCCTTCCCTTCCCTTCCCTTTCCTTTCCTTTCCTTTCCTCCTCCTCCTCCTCCTCCTCCTCCTCCTCCTCCTCCTCCTCCTCCTCCTCCTCCTCCTCTTCTTCTTCTTCTTCTTCTTCTTCTTTGGCATGGCATTCTCTAGGACAGACTGTACATGGCTGTTAAATAATGAGCTTTAATAGTAAAAGGATAAAAGGAAGAATTTCATTTTTGGGGGAAACAGAATTTCTTTTTTCTTTTTATAAACCTGAGATCATCATGGCCAGATGGTTGACTGAGCTGGTGCAGAATTTCGTACCTTTTGGGAAACTGGGACCAACCAGGAGTGTGCATGGTTCAGGGGGAACAGGTATAGATGGTAGCGTTAACTGACACAAAGATATCTCCAGATTACGACTCAAGATTTAGTAGTAGCTTATTTTATTATGTTTGGGTATATTTACCAAGTAAATATACAAGATGAAATATGTAATATTTACAGGGTGAAATTTTTTCTCAGGGGCATCTTTGATGTAGCTCCAATGCCAGCAGCTACAGAAGAAATATACCAGAAGAAAGGTTGCATGCACAAACATGTGGTTGCCACAGGTATTACTACTTCCATTGATTTCTTTTTGGGAAGGATTTGGATAATTTCCTCTAAGGCTAAAATCTCCAATAAAGTCAGAGTGTGAGGAATGGGAAAAGAAACACAATTTCTTATAGTAGATAGCAACTGGATAGTGAAAATAATAGCTTATGTATTTATTATACTCTGCAATTTCAAAGCATTTTTAATGCAGAGTTATTTTAGATTTTATTCTGAAGATAGATGTTTCTAAAATTCTTAAATAGTTGTTACATTGGTTTTAAAGTCTAACTCTTACTTGGAATCTATTTTTGACAGACATAAGGAGTTATTAGCTAAAATTTTAACTGATATTAATAAGCGCAAAAGCTAATGCCTCAGTTAAACCTCAATTTTCCAGAACATTTTGGTAATTAAAATTAGTATTCATATATGTTTAAAAACTTTTCTAATATGTATTTTCCAATTCACTGTGTTTAAAACTTAATCTTCAGTAGATGATTCAGTCTTGGATTGTTTCAACATCGTTTTGAACAATTTTCATTCCACACAACTATAGATAATGGCAGTATAAGCATTTTGCAAACTGTTTATATGTTAGGTTACTTTATAGTCATATAATTTTGCCTCCTGAAATTTTCATTTGTTGATTTTGCAGTTAGTGGAATATTGCTACTCATGGAGTTTCTTCTACAATTGTATTTTCATGTAAAAGTAATTACTATTTGGGGGGGGGGTTTGTCCCTCCTGCTCCTTTCCTCTGTTTTCCTTCCTGTTTCCTCCATTTCTCCCTCCTCCCCCTTTCTTTCTCCCTCCCTCCCTTTCTCCTTCCCTCCCTTTCTCCTTCCCTCCCTTTTTTTCCACTTTCCTTTTTGTTAACTATTTATGTGATGTGTATGTTGGCCTCTGAGTTATTTGAGAGACACGATGGGTGAACAAAAATGTTAACAACTAAAGTCCTGATATTAAATGACTGAAAGTAGCTGTGAGAAAGTGAGGTATGGTATGAAGGAAGTAGCTTCAGTCAATTCCAAAAGTGAAGAGATGTGTTACTGCTTCTTTTCAGATCACTGTAATTCTGAATGGGACAGTGCTGGTGAACACCTTGTTTGCATACTGGAAGAAAACTGAATTGAGGGTTTTTCCAAAATTGTAAAGGGCTACAGAAATCCAAGATTTTCCAAGGGTTTAGATTCCGTGGTGTGAACTTTGGTTTTTCTCTAATGGCACACAATTCTCATTTTTCTTATTTATTCTTCTTACCTACCAATGCATTTGTGTCCCTTCCAATCCTGGGCTCCAACTCATTCACAGGCTCCTGGAAGCTGTCACCCATACACTTACACAGATCTATACCCAAATACATTAGTGGGCATGTTTCAGGTTCAGGTTCAGGGCTAAGTCTTATCCTGGTTTGAGGCCTCTGAGATTGTTTTCTCAGCCTGCTTCATGAGGTTATTATTCCAGATCATGGGAAAGCACTTTAATATGTAATGGCATAGGTCATCTTTGAACTAACAATGCATATTTTAAGGGATATGATGACTGGAAAGAAACACAGGCTTGGGAATTGGCCGGCACTCAGTGGGACTTCCAGGCTCACTGGTTGGTAGTTGTGACTTTGGGTACTTCTCTGTGTCTCAGTTTCCTCATTTATAAAACAAGGATATCAGTAACCTCTTCAGATGGCTCTTGATGTAATTATGTAACAAAGCTTGGTAAAAGGGCGATTGGCTAGCATAAAAGGATATCTAGCCATTTGTTTCGCTTCTCTTTTTACTAAAATACCTAGGAATTAAATGTTTATGATCTACTAAGTTAGTGAGATAAAATACTCAAAATGGGAAAATTCTCAATTGATCTGACCATCAGGTTTATTTAATCTTCTTATTTTAGTGACTATCAGACTCCAGATAAAAACTCCCTTTGAATTACAAATTAGCCTTTGATAGAAGACTTTCCCTCTATTTTGAAGTAACAGTTACAGTTGTGTTGAGAAAGAATCTAGTCATTTCATTTGCTATTAAAATATATCCATGGGAAAGATGGAGCATCTATCTGTCCATTTATAAAAGTGCAGATTCTTAAGAATAAGTAATATTTTAATTTTAAGAAGATCCAAAACAAACTGTAAACTGGGATTTATCTGTGAGTTGCTATTACTCATTTCATTTCCATGATTCTTATCTATGTTCTTGGAAATGATCACACGTGTTCACTTATATGGATATAATCACATATCATTATTCAGGAAATAAAATTAATTTATATGTATGACTTGTGGAATTAGTCATTACATCTTTTTTATTTATTTGTATGTGGAATAGTTGTTATTCTATTGAATGATGAAACTTTCAGTTTTCATTACAACCTTGTGAGAAGCATCACCACTTCCATTTTTCAGATGAAGGAGACTCTGAGAGACACACAACTTGCCCAAGGTCACACATATTACAACCGGTTAGTAGCACTATTCTAGCATTCACATAGACTGTTTAACTTGAGTCTTCTCATTTTCTTTACCATCTTGATTTGTGGGGATCTGCCCCTATTCTTGGCATTAGCTGTATTTATGTGTACTGTTCCCTACCTATGTTTTTCTATTCCTATATTTTTATTACCATTAACATGAACCACTTATAACTCGATAACATCAGAGGAGCAGTGTTCAATCTTTATTCTCTGACAGTCTGTACCTTTCCACTTTGAGAAGTAGGGTTAGGAGAATTTCCAAAGGACACTGTTATTATTGAGGACTTATGAGGGGCATTAACCTGAAATATGACAAAGGTCAAATGTTCCCTTCCCTGGGACTACAATGATCATTTCCTGGCCCACTCTTTGATATTGCACATGAGAAATGCAGACCCAGAGAAGTTATGTGACTTACCAATGGTTACACACCTGGGACTTCAACATAAATCTTCTGGTGGTAGAACAGAGGCCACCCTCTGGTTACAAAGCAGAATTTGATAACCAGGTCAGGGGCCTGGATCAGACACTCATAAATTTATGTTGCTGATTTCTCTCATTTCTCATTGTATCAATAATTTACCCAATACGTGTTCTCATAAAAAATGTGATTTGTATGGGAACTTTATCGGAAAGCTGCTAATGAGTTTTTACTGTTTTGAGGGTTTCTAATTTGAATATCATATGATTCCATGTGCCTAAGGATCTATTAGGGTAGATTGAGAATTATAGCTAAAATTAACGTTGTCTTTGTCTTCACCCAGTGTATGTAGATCAATGTTAGTTTTCATTTCTTTTTCCTTGGTATTTTTACTTAAGTTTTGTATGAAGAATTTAGATCTCTCATGGTCTGGAGGACCATATGGGAAGTCATGTTAGTCCTTTGCCACCATTATTATATCCTGATCTGCCCCTTCGCCAGGATTGCATATGCAGATAAAGACCTTCCCAATAAGTGCATGTTGAAAGAATAAGGACAACAAGAAACACAGAAAGAGATGCAAAAGCAATCTGGCTGCTTATTCTCAAGCACAAAGATGGTGCTTGATACCATCCAAAAGTTTTAAAACATGGAGACAAAGCTTCAACCTAACATAATTCTGCAGGATAATGTTTGTTTCCCTTGGCAACCTAAACTTTAGTTGAAGATAATATTAGAATTACTTTTTACATTGGAAACAGTAGTTCAAAGTAGTTGAAATAATTATGTTGTGTGGACAAAGAAAGAAGGACCAGAGTAAGAAGCAGGAGTACATCATTTTCAAGTTTTATATCTTAGAATCAGAAAACCAATTAAGCCCAGCAGTCCACATGAGCAGTGCAGTTGATGGAGAACAGAGCCCAGAGTTAGAGAGACAGAAGCAGATTCACTGCAATTCTTCAGAAAGTAGACATCTTTGAGAGAGCTAGGAAGCATGGTGGACAGAGCAGCTGTATGTCCTTCCATTATAGCAGGAAGCCTAAGGGTCATGAGATTCTGCGGTGCATACCCTCAGAGGCCTCCTCCTGGACTGGCCTGGCTGGTCCTCTGTGAAACACTGGTGAAGCCTTCAGCTAGGGTGAAATCAAGTCCCAAAAGAGATCCACAGACTGAGAAAATATGGAGAAGAAAAGGTTAAACACTGAAGATGCAGGAGAGAAACAACATGTAGGAAAAGATGCTCATTTCTAGGCAAAGAAGAGGGAGCAGTGAGACCATTTTGGTAGGCTCATGTGGCCAAAACTAATTGTGTTGGTTTATTAAGAAAGAAAAATTGAATAAGTATCTCCTAATACCCTGTCAGTAAGTCTCCACTGGCTCAGATAAAGATGGATGCAAAGAGAAAACATTGAGAAACATTATATGTTTTGGATTACGCAGGTCACAGTTTCTCTGATTTGGCAGAATTCTCAAGTCTCTACGAGTAACAACGACTCAATAAAACCAACGATAAAACAAAGTGAACTAAACTTTAAAAACTATGAACAAATATATTTATTGTGGTGGCTTTCTCCCCTACTAGATACACCTTGTTAGAAAGTAGTATCCCTTTTAGTTCCAGGTGGACCATTAAGCAGGTAATAAAATCATTTTTTCCCTCATTGAGAGAGAAAGAAAACACATGACTTTGCAAACGTGTCATATTCTCCTTGCTCTATTTCTTTTGTTTTCTATGACATCAGAGTTTTCTTCTAATAAGTATGATTTTGTTTTTGGAAGAAAGTTACAGGCACATGTTTACAGACTTATATAATCCAAGGGGTAGCAGAGGCTAAACCACACAGTGCTGACACAGATTGGAGACCTGTTCCAGGAGATCACAACCCTTCACAGTTTAGGAGAGCAAAAAAGTAATCTCCAGTTCTATATTTCTTCCACATTTTGCCTTCCTCCAATCCCATACAGTATATTTATCTCTGCTATGCACTCTCATGTTTCTTGCAGAAGTACAGGATGCGGACAATAGAAGTAATCTTAAAACAGTTGTTTCTGTGATGATAGATCCTATGATTCCAAATGCCAGGCCCTAATACTGAGTGAGCATTCTCTAGATTTCCTGAACAAAAAACCCACATTGTCTTAGAACATTGTTTTTCTCCCCCTGATCTTTTCTTTGTTTTCAAGGGATATGGCATCTTTGAATTTTCAGAATTATCTTCTGCTTCTTAAAACAAGAGCTCCAAAAATATTTTTATAGGGAAAAGAGGCTTCTTCTCCAGATATCATCATTACATTAATGATAACTTATTGATAATAATGTACAACATTTTCTTGTGTTTTAAAAATGCTTAGAAGCACGTAAGATAACCATTCATAAGTATCCCTTCTTTGAACTTTTGGCTCTTTGTTGTTAACTATGCTCATATGAAGAATATAGCAACTATTTTCAATGTTGTTTAGACAGAGCAATAACAGATATGTAGTCCATTGTTGTTCTAATGGCTAGAACACCTGTCCTGGGCATCTGGCTGAGATAGCAGCATCATGAGTCTACAATAATCTCATGGGACCATCTAGTGTACAGTGCTGACTGATACCGATTTCTGTGTCTTTTCTTGAACTTTTCGCTTCTTCTGCTGCGGTTTGTCTTTGTTTTCTCGTTGTTCTGGGGTTTCTCTACTGGATTCTAGACCTTTGTTGTCAGGGAGAGCTTCCTTACTTTCTTCTTTATTAAGTTTTTTCCTTTTCCTCTCTCTTCCTTTTTTCCCTGAAATGAAAGGACACTCCTTTAAAAATTATGTTCAATTATGTTCCACTAGGTTATTCTAAGTTTTAAAAATGTCTCATGTTTCACTTGAGCGTGGCATATCATACCCATTGATAGCAAATATCTATTCTTTACATCCTTCATTCAAATACTTTTTTAAGTCCTTGCAATATTCCCAACAATGTAAACATGAAATGCATATACAATATAATGACACAACTAGTTTGAACGCTACAGAATTCTATTCCTAGTTTTGAGGTTTATTTAACAGATTACTAATGTATAGTTAATAAATAGAAAATTTCAAATATATTTCTTACCATACTAAAATATTTACTAATATAAATATTTTATCTACCTCCTCTTTAAGGTATCATTTTGTATTCAGAATTTTTCAAGTAACATTTACATATTTGCAATCTGACAAGCTATTTGCAAGCCCTCCAGGAAGAGAATTGATTATCATAACAAATATGAAAATAATTCGTGATGAGTACAGAATAAATTATACTTTTTATTAACACAAATATCTGTATTTTGAAATCTATATTTCAATTTCTCTATGTGTTAGGGTGCTATAGATAACTTTTCAATAATCCTGTGGTATAGGCTAAAAGGGCAGGGATTTTTTTATTTCTATTGACCAAATAAGTAGGTATTTATTGGATATATACTGGATTCCATGGAGACTCTGGACGTTGAACTGGATTTGAAGCATAGATTTATTTATTCAGATTCAGATTGTGAGGTATTTTTCACAAGAGGAACAAACAATCCTTTTTCATGTGGGAAGGCATATTGTAGCCAACATGGCACCAGGGTGAAGAACTGAATTTTATTCCACTGACATTATAAAACCTCTGAGAATTTTACAGACATCAATTTAATCAAATTATATGAGCCTGACACCAAATTAGATGAATTGTTTTCATTTCTTTCTAAAAAGTGAGTTAACTAAAGTTCTATTATGCAAACATTTTATATGTTTAATCAACAGTGGAATGGTTTTAGTAACATTCACTAACACATATATACCAAGGAGAAATTACTTATATTCAATTCAATATCATAGTAAATGAAAACTAGGAACCAAGTATCCCTCAATGTGCAACAAATTCTGAATGTGTAGCCTTGTACACTGGGACATGTAAAATTTAAAATCAGTCTGTCTACAATAAGTAACTCTGGACTAGTTATTTTGGAAAAAATATTTGCATGGGAACCAAAGAATTTTCATGTTCTGAAACAGACTGCAAATATTGAATTCAGTGGTTTGGCCCTTCTTTTTCTGAGCTCTGGTTACCAAGTCCTAGGGAGCAGTATTATTAATATTGCATACATATCCTAGGCCAATAGTCTCCTTGGATTAATGATTTTACGCCATAACTAGCTTTGTCAGGAGATTATATTTACAAAACCTTCCAATTACTTTTATGAAAACTTTTCTTGTTGGGCTCAACATAACACATCTCTACATTTTGAACTCCAGAATAGTTAATAAAAATGAGAATTCAGATAGAGGTAAAGCAAAAATAATATTATTTGAGGTATATAGAGATCAACAAAAATACTAGAGGCAATTATCACTTCTAAATGGAACTACTTATCCACAAATTTGCCATTTCTATTATTCTTTTCACTGTAAAGAATATTGCTATGTTGCTGAGATTTCTATCTATCAACAGAATCCAGAGCCTCTTTTTTATGCTAGATTTAATGACTACATATTTGACTTGAACATGGTCTTGAACTAAACAGAGAAAACTGGAGACTAAATTTAAAGTAAAATTACTTCCTGAATATGCAGCATAATTTAAACTTTATAAAGCTACACAAACTGAAAAAGAGAAATGCTAGTTTTCATAGGAGGTACTTGGTTTTCAGAAGGAGATGCGGCAAAGGTTGGATTACATAATATTTCCATTTTGAAGCATATTTTGGAGGTGTTCAAGTTCAGCTCTGAAAAAACTGTGAATGAAAATCATTCCAAAGTTTCATAAAAATTACTGACCCTAAACAAAATGTTATTTTTATGGAAATTATCCAGAAGTTCAGTGTTTGACATTGTTCTCTTGATGATGATCCAACATCTTACAGCTGTGATCCTAACCATAGTGTTTTAGAAACTTAAGAAATATATTGTTTCTTTCTTGGTTACAGATTGATTTATATGTTTTTTTAGCCACTCTTGACAATATGCTCAACTTGCAGAGCATTTCTGTTTATTAGCAAGCTGATATGATTATTTCTTAAGACAGGCAAAAACATTTTTGGAAGTATCTTGAAACTCACTATTATAGCTTTATTACCCAAGGAAAAATTATTTAGTCTGGGCAGTGAGTGAAAGGGGAGGATCTGGTGAAGTAACAGGAAACTAACACATTGTACACTTTTGCTGCCCAAGAGAGGGTGATTGTGCAATAGAAAAATGGGATTATTATTATTTTTTTTACAGACCATGTGTTAGTGGTTGGAAATGCTAACTACCCCTCTGCATAAATAATATATTTTCCTCCTATCCAAGAAATAAAATAGAAATGGAAAAGAGTGACTGTAGTCCATTAAAAATCATGTGCGATTTAGGGTGATTTTGTAAGGTTTTCATTAAAGGAGACTTCTTTTTCTATTTTTGTGACTTGATGACTTTTCATTGATGTGGTTAATAGTTATTCTATGACTTAAAAAAAAACATTTCTGCAAATTAAGCCTTCCAGTAATAAAAAATCCACCATGTACGTGTTTTGAAACTATGTGTGTAGTGTGCACAGACACATGTGTGCCTGAACTGGATTGTGCAGTTGTACAATGCATAACAGAATGTTCATCTCTCCTTGGTGTTCTAGTCATGAGGGTGACAAGGACTCTGTCCTCATGAATAGATTACTACTGTTATGGGACTGGGTTTTTTAGGAATGAGTTTCTGATAAATGAGTTTCACCAATTTCCTCTTACACATGCTCTTTTGTCTTTCCATCATGTTGTGATGTAGTTTCCTAGTTCCCAAAAGAAGATCTTCATCAGATGCTGGTGCCATGCTCTTGGATTTCTCCACCTCCAGAACCACGAATCAAGTAATCTTCTATTCTTTATAACTTACCCAGTCTATGATATTCTGTTATAGCATCAGCAAATGGACTAAGACAGTCCTTGTAGGGAAACACTATGATATAAGATTTAAGAACACTGTCTTTAGAGTCAGAAAAACACTGTTCAAATTCTAAGTCTGCCACCAATAGTTGGGTGACCTTTGGCAAGTTTCTGATATTTCTCAGGATGAATTGATATTTCAACTATGAATAATCATTATTACCTGCTAAACTTTGTAAGAATTAAATGAGGTGTTTGTAGAACAGTTGATTAATATGTGCCTGAACTACTAATCATCAGACAAATGAAAGCTGAAATTATTAACTCATTATATAAACATGAATTTAGCCCCTACTTCATGGCAAAAATATGCTAAAACCTGGAGATACAAATGAGATATGGAGATCAACACATTAGTCACACACCAATGCCAAAATGGAGACAGGCAAAATATCTATTTGGAACACAAGGTGGAGGGAGAGCATTAAACTCTTCCAACAGAGACTGAAAAGGGTGAGATGATATTCCAGTTGAGCTTTAAAAACATGTCATGAGTTTTCAGACTAATAAAGTAGAAGGGCAATCCAGGCAGTGAACAATATAACAGCATGAAGGCATGCAAGGACAGTGTATTCTGGAGCACTGGAAGTAGACTTCCTCCATTTGATCAGAGTCTATATATAGGATATTACTGAGAGGCCTGGAAAGATATACAGGGCTCAATTGCCAAGTTGGGAATCTTTCCTGAGAACCAATGGCACTGGAGAAGGGCAAATATCAGAATCTGAGAGCAGGACAGAATTTTGGTGGTTCTGTGACTGGTTTATAAAAGACCAATGGGATATGCTAATATGTGACTTTGTTTCCTTTACAGAAAACAGATCTAAGTTATATGAATCCATTGAGGGAATATTTTCAGGGGCTGATATTTATATTTGAGCTTTAACTTTTGAAAGAGCAGCTAAAATCTCTGTGCAGACAATGACACCATTATTATTTATGTTGCACACTACCATTACATAAGTGAATGGATAATAGACATTTTTGAGCCTTTGAAATTATTCTATTTTTTAAATTTTTTTTAGTTGTAGTTGAACCACAATACCTTTATTTTATTTGTTTATTTTATATGGTGCTGAGGATTGAACCCAGGGCCTCGCATATGCTAGGCAACCACTCTACCACTGAGCCACAACCCCAGCCCCTGAAATTATTGTATTAATACAAGAATATACAAGCTTTTATGTAAGCACTTTCTAAGATTTTTACAGACCAGGCTCCAAACAGATATGACTTAAAAATACAGATTCCTTGGAGATTGTGATTTGTAAGTTTCAGTTTGTTCTGATTGTATTCACATTAAGAACTATATTTGTAGAACAATACGAATACCCATTTTCCTTGAATAGATACAATTAAAGTTTATTTCAAATTACATGGTTACTCATTTGAATTACTTTTCCTAGTGGATATTTTCCGAATGGATAGTAAATTTGATTTACTATCCTCACTAATTTTTAGGGAAACTTTTCTAATTAGGTACATTTGAATAGGCACCCAGTTATGATATGAAAATCCTTGCAGAATTTTTCTTTACCAATTTTCTGTTAAAATGCAAATATAAGCAGAAAAGAATAAACATATAAAAATAACAAAGAGATAAGAAAATGATCCTGAATTATTTTTCCCAAGATATATTTAAATTCCAAGTGAAAATACAAACCTTAGAAAATTTTCAATATCCTTCTAAACATACCATGGTTACTAATAAAAGGGATGCCTTCCATAGAATTTATCAAGAATTACTTAAATTATGAATGTGAATTAGTGATGTTTAGAAATGATCTGTCCAGTTTTTTAAAGGGCTTCTTTGTGAAGTTCCTACAAAGTGTCACTAAGGGGAGCCGTTGAGC